TTTCTAAAACATTAACTTCTTTTTGGATGTTAAACCAATCTATATTACTAAGAAAAATTCCATTTGGTTGAGGTGTGTAATCCTTTTTCATGTTTTAATAAATTTCATTTGCTATTATTTTATTGAGTATTTTTGTCTATATTGTTAAAGATATTTGTCTGTAGTTTTCTTTTCCTGTGATGTCTTCCTCTGGCTCTGGTTCAGAGTCATTACTGGCCCCCTCTCTATTTTCCAGAAGAAACTGTGAAGGATTAGTATTATTCTTAAATGTTTGATAAAACTCACTAATGAAGTCATCCAGGCCCATGCCTTTCCTTGTTAGAAAAAATATATTACTAACTCAACTTCTTAAGTTGTATACTTTTCATATACTTATTCTCAGTTTCTATTGCTTTTTCAGGTGGTTTTAGAATGTAAGTTGTATTATGTCCAGTAATTTGTCCATTTCACTTCCATTGTACAATGTGCTGGGATAAAGATGTTCATAGTATTTCCGTACACCCTTAAGTTTCTATGGTGTTGGTAGTGACGTCCCCCCTTCTCTGCTATTGGCAATCTCAGTCTCTCTGTCTCTCTGTCTGTCTCTCTCTCTCTCTCACTTGCTCAGTCTATAAAGGTTTGTCAATGCCTTCCACCTCAAGTTTCTTGAGGTGGAAGTTCAGGTTACTGATAGGAGATTTTCTTTTCTGTTCTATATAGGCATTTAAAGCTACAGATTTTCCTCTAAGCCCTTCTTTAGCAGCATTCCATAAACTTTTATGTTGCATTTCATTGTCATTCAGTTAAAAATATTTTCTAACTTGCCTGTAATTTCTTCTTTGAATCATAGGTTAGACATTTATTGTTTAATTTCCAAATATTTCTAAAGTTCCAAAATTATTCTGTGGCTCCCTGTGCCTTGTGGGCCAGTGGAAGCACCATCAGCCCCAGCTTCTGGAGCCACAGACACCCAGTCAACTCCAATGTCTAGGTCACATAGGCCCCACTGGCCCTTGAGCCACTCTCAGCTGAGGTGGCTCTGATCTCCCAGCCCTCAGCAGTGGCACTGCATTTCCTGCATGTAGATCCCAGCTTGATGGCCTTCCTTTGTTTCTTAGTGTCTCCGTCCAAGTCAGTCTAAGCTGGCAGTGTTTCTGGTGATACAACTTTCTCAAGAGCCACGTTGGTTTTCCACGGGTATCAAGGGGGGATCCACACAATTAGTTGCAAGGGTTCTCCACAGATCCTTTCTGGGTGACCCAATTTCTATTCCTGCTTTCTGCCGAGTCGGTCTGTTAGATCTATGAATCCCACACCGAATCTGGTCACTGAAAGGTTGTCCAGCCACCCTGATGGCCCTGTCTCCAGAGCATGCTGTCTGCATGAACTGAGAATTTTCCAAATCACTAAGTGCTCATTTCTGTTTGCTTAATAGTCCCTTCCTTAATTTATTTCTCTCGTCTCATATCTTACTATAACCAGCAAAGGAAAACGAGGCCACACTTTTCACACTTTGCTTGGAAATCTCCTCAGCTAAATAACCACCTTCACATTTACAAACTGTTCTTGCCTACTAGCAGATTATGATGCAGTCAGTTCCTGCTTATTTATAAAGAGGGTCACCTTTTCTCCAGTTTCCAATAATATGTTCTTTTCTTCTGTCTGAGTCCTCACCAAAAATATCTTCAATGTTCATTCTTTCTAGCAACATTCTGTTCACGACACTACATGTACTCTCTTCAGTGAGAGGACACTTCTCAAAGTCCTTTTCACTTCTTTGAGTGCTTGCCAGAATCACCTCTAATGTTCATATTTCTACTAACAATCTCAGCCTAGGTTTTTTCCATCATGAGCCTTAAAACTCCTCTAGCCTTTAGCCATTACCTAATTCCAAATACACATCAACATTTTTAGGTTTTTCTTACAGCAGCACCCCACTTCTGGTACCACAGAGTGGCTCACTGCAGCAGAAATTTATTCTCACTGTTCTGAAAGTTAGAAATTTATTCTCACAGCACCAAAATAAAGGTGCCGGCAGGGCCATGCTCCCTATGAAGGGAGCTGTCCTTCAAAGGGACATACCTGTCCCTAACTTCTGGTGGGTGCTGGCCGTCCTTGGTGTTCTTTGCGTAATTGTTGCAGCACTTTAGTCTCTGCCGTCATGCTCAGGTGGCACCTCTCTCTGAGTCGCCCAGGTCTGAATTTCCCTCTTCTTTTAAGGGCACCAGTCATTGGATCAGGCCCACCTTAATCCAGTTTGACTTTACTCCACTATGACCTCATCTTAACTTGACTACATCTGCAAAGAACCTATTTCCAAATAAAGGCACATTTGTAGGTACCAGAGGTGAGCACTAGAACATATTTTTATTCAGGGACATAAGTCAACCTACAGCAATGTGGTAAGGACAAACCAAGAGTTGTTTTGAAAACTTCTCATACTGATGTCAATGACCTCATTGATTGAAGACAGAGGAAATGATCTGATCTGAATTCAACTTTAAATGTCTTGGGGAAGTCTGATGTTTCTTGACATAAGACTGCCCATCTCTCCCATTAGAGTGGCCAGTATTTCCTAGAATGATTCTGATTTTTCACCACTGATTCTGTTTTTAAAAAGCCAGTCAGTTGGACATACCCATTAACATGTAAAAATGTCATACTGTTCATTATGTAGATGTCTTGTTCAAAACAAATAGCAGCAGCCCACTTGTTCATATTGATTTGATCAAAAGGAAAGTTAATTTTTTATGTGGCTTCACAATTTGGATTTATGTCCCTTTTTTACCTGGAACTGGAAATTAATATTTACACTGAAATTCATCCTTTATGAGGATTGCTTATATAATTTCAGTATCAAATGAAATTGATATCCAATACAAAATAATACCTGGTAAGCAAAAGTTCACATGTGGATCTTTATGTCCAACTTTCTGAGGAAAAGGCTCATAGTTTTCATCATAATCTAAAAAAAAAAAAAAAAAACCACTTTCCTAGAATCTGTGCCTAAATCAGATATATGTTAATTTGGCCTAGTTTTCCCCAAGAAGAAATGGAAGAGGAGAGAAAAATCAGGTAGGCTACTGGTAGGTGGCCTCTCTGTTTCGTTCCTGAGAATCTCGTATTATTTCCTGGTTTCTCTGAAAACCTCTGAATTCCTTACCTTCCTGAGGGCAACCTCTTCAGTTGTCAGCTGGTGTGGAGCACAGCCGGCTGTAGGTTTGTTTTGGCCAATCCAACAAACTGTTCCCAACTGATTTCTGACACACACACAGAACGTAATGTCTCTGGTAAAACTCTGGACAGCAAGGAATCTAGCATAATCTGAAACAACAGTTTGGTTTCCTTGGTCAGACACCCAGAAGGTCTATGTTCACTTCTGAATAAAGGTCAACAAAACCCTTTACCTTTGTATGTGATAATTAATTTTTTATTAACTTTCTCATTCTGTTTTATTGGAAACCTGTTATAAGTGGTATGTCACTATGGCATTCTCATACACTGCTGGTGTGAATGTCTATGGTTCAGCCACTCTGAAAACAGTGTAGCAGTTTCTGAAAATGCTAAACATACACCTACTATGTAATAAAAAATGTCCATATAAAGATTTATACATAAATGTTCAAAGCAGCTTTATTTGTAATGGTAAAAAACTGAAATAAACCAATATCCATCTGCTTGGTGAACAGATAAATAAATTGTGGTATATACATCCAATGGAAAGAAGTTTGACCAAAAAAGAGTATACTCGGTACTATTTCATTTAATTGAACCTCTAGAAAATTTAAACTAATGGGTAATAACTGAAAGCAGAACACTGGTAGGGGGTTGTGGGAGGCAGGAAGGGATTACCAAGGGAAAGAGAAAACTTTTGGGGCTGCTGGATATGTTCACTATTTTGATTGTGGTGGTAACTTAATGGCTTGTGTACATATGACAAAACCTGTCAAATTGTATACTTGAAAGATTTGCTGATAACTGTATGTCTTTTATACCTTAGTGAAGTTTTTTTGTTTTTTTTTTTTAAGTAACTGCACTGCTACTTGTGAGGGCTGGACCCAAACAAGTCCTTACGGATAACATTAGGGTCTCATTCGAACTACCTGAAGATTTCATATATCGCCAGAGGGTCTTGGGCTGGAACAGGAAGCCCTCCTCCTCCACCTTAACCATCGCTTCAGCCGGCTGCCACTCTCTCATACTTGCACCTCTTCTTCCAAGCGTCTTATCCAAAGTCACAGGTCTGACCTGTCTCAATTCTTCTCCCAATTCCCCCATTTACTTCCCAAGATATTTCCGAGAACACGGTAATATCCTTTCCTACCCTGATGCTCTGCTGTCCACCCCGCCCACCCCCATTTCAGGGCCTTCTGCATACCCTTATCCTCTAGTCAAAATAAGGATCGCAAAGGCAAGAAGCAAACTTCTTAGAAGGAGACCCCCTGTCCTTTCTTGATGGCAGAATAGATGAAAACCTGCTTCCCAGCAATTCAAGGATTAATTGCTGAGCACTACTTATTTTCTACGGCAGTGGTATTCAAAGTGTGTTCTCAGAATCAGCAGCAGCAGGATCACCTGAGAACTTGGGCTCGCACTCCAGACCTGCTGCTGAATCGGTGGGGCTCTGCAATCAGTATTTCGACAAGGCCTCCAGGGGACTAAGAGGCATCCCAACGTTCGGGGGAAACATCAGAGGACAGGCAGTTAGGATGGAAGCAAACCAGCGAATCTAATTGAGAGAGGGAGGTGGGGCGGGTAGATAAAAGAGGTAACAGAACTAAGGGAGAACTCGATCTGTAGTCAGAAGACCTACCCTGCCCCAGGGAGCTTTCCCGAAAGATATTTTGCGACATGCAAATCAAGAACGGGATGCTAGGGCAAGGGATCTGGCGCAGGCTCACAGCGTCCCTTGTCCCGACCCCGCTGGGGCCGTGAGCTTTCCGGTGTTAAATCTCTGCCCCGCGGTTCACCGCTTGGGGCCGCCGCCGGCCCGCCGCGCATGCGCACCTCCGCAGCCCCGCTCAGCGAGCCGAGCAAACCCTCCCAGATTCCCGGAGCGGACCTGGCGATGGCGGGCTCGCCGCGGGCGAGGCTGGACAGCGGTCTGGAGAACTCCTCGAGGTACGGTTGATGTCGGCCCCGGAGAGGCGGAGGAACTCGGGTGATCTCTCCGTTCGAGCGTCCTCGCAGCGCTGCCAAGGCACCGTGTGCGGTTTCCTGGGGCCATGGAGAGTCAAGGCCACCCGGGTCGCCCTCGGGCGCGGTTCCCGGGTTCGGCGAGCTGGTTCGGTTCCTGGCCCAGCGCGGGGTCGGTATCCGGTCGGCCCTTGCAGGCCCCTGGGTTCCATCGGATGAACGCCGGAAACCCGGAAACCGGGGGTGGGTGGGATCACGAGCGTAGACCACGGGGATCGGCCCACCGTGTCCGGAAAGAGCAACCTGAGTTGTGTGAGTGTAGGGAGAAGGGAAGGAGGAAAAACAGGTCCTGATGATGGATCAGAAGTGTCGGCGGGTACAGGAGGGGAAGCGAATAGCGTGGTGGTAACGGCTGGGGCAAAATTCTAAGATTACCTCTCCTGCCTGTCTTTCTAGTTATATACCCTTACTTTGCTAGCATTAACTCCCGGTGATGTTTGAAGATCTCTAGACTTTGAATGGAGAACTCGTGTCCGAAAGGGGTAAAGCCTGACTCCGGGATGAGAGAAAGGAAGCTTAATAAATTCTGAGAGAAAACCACGTGGAAATTAAATGAGATTTTGTTTTCTCCTTTGCTCCTTTGATATCTAGAGGATGTTTCTGGTGGTCTAGGGCCAGGAATTGTATCTCCAGGCTCCGCAATGACTCCCTTCCAAGCCCGGTGGTGCCCACTTGCCTCCGGGTCTCAGACAAGAAAAGCTTACAGAGGACATGGTAACTCCCCGGTTGCTCCCTGAGGTGTCGAGCGTCCAATTGCAGCCCATGGAGATACAGTCCAATTATGAAGCTCAAGACCAACACCTTCTGTCAGGTGAGAAGCAATGTATTATATCTTTCTTGGTGGTGGTGGGGGGGGGGCTGTGACACGGCTCCGTTAGCACCTCCGGGTGCTGTTGGTTCTCCTCCTTGCCTTCCCCTCCTTCTGTTGCGCAGTAACATCTCTTCAGCGCAGCAGTCACAGGACTTGGTCGTGACTTCTGGCAGTCCTTCTCAAGGAATGTCTTGCTGTCCTTTCAGTCTCCCAAAGCCTCCTTTTTTCCCTGTTAGAAACACCTCACCACCAATCTGCCAGCGGTTGGTATTTCCCCATTTAAAATCTTTTCAAATCATCTTTCCCATTTACTGGAAGGCAGTAGTTCAAGATTTTGGACTCAGACAACCTGGATTTAAATACTAGCTTTGTCATTTACTAGCTTCAGCAAATTGCTTTTTCTTATGACTCTGTTTTCTCATTTTATAAGTGTCTACTGATTCATATCTTGGAGGTTATTTTGAGGTTTGTGTCTATCTACTACTCCACAGAAAGGGGCCCCAAAAGTAAGTGACCTAAAACGTCAGCCATTTTTAAACCATGTTATTTTCTTATGGTTCTGTAGGTCATCAGCTTGGACTGGTTCAGCTGGACAGAGTTTTCCTTCTGGTCTTGCCTAGGATAACTCAAGGACTCATCTGTTGGCTCACCTAGGGCAGGAGCTAAGCCACTTTCAATTATATAAGCCTGGCTGTGAGTGCTTTCTATGGCTTGGGTCGCTTATCTTTAGCAGACCAGCCCAGACTTTTTCACAGGGCAGCAAGTTTCCAAAATCAGACAGCAAGCGCTGGCATGCAAAACACTTTTCTTTTTTATTTTTTAAATTATATTTTATTGATTATGCTATTACAGCTGTCCCACTTTTTCCCCTTTGCCCCACTCCATCCAGCACCCCCTACTCCTGCAGGCAATCCCCCCACTTTTGTTTATGTCCATGGGTCATGCATGTAAGTTCTTTGGCTACTCCATTTCCTATACTGTACTTTATATCCCCATGACTCTTCTGTAACTTCTAACTTGTGATTTTTAATCCCTTCACCTTTTCATATTCCTCCAATCCTCCCTCCCATCTGGCTGCCATCAAACCATTCTATGTATAATTTGTTTCTGTTCTGCTTGTTTGCTCAGTTTGATTTTTAGATTCATCCGTTGATGGATATGTATTTATTGCCATTTTATTGTTCATCATTCTGATCTTCTTTTTCTTAAATAAGTCCCTTTAACATTTCATATAATAAGGGTTTGGCGATGATGAACTCCTTTAGCTTTTTCTTGTCTGAGAAGCTCTTTACCTGCCTTTCGATTCTAAATGCTTTGCTGGATAGAGTAATCTTGGTTTAGGTCCTTGCTTTTCATCACTTTGAATATTCCTTGCCTATCCCTTCTTGTCTGCAAAGTTTCTTTTGAGAAATCCACTGACAGTCTTATGGGAACTCCCGTGTAGGTAACTACCTGCTTTTTTCTTGCTGCTTTTAAGATTCTTTATCTTTAACCTTTGGCATTTTGATTATGATGTGTCTTGGTGTGGGCCTCTTGGCGTCCATCTCGTTTGGGACCCTGTGCTTCCTGGACTTGCATGTCTATTTCCTTCACCAACCGAGGGAAATTTTCTTTCATTAGTTTTTCAAATAGATTTCCAATTTCTTGCTTTTTCTCTTCTCCTTCTGGCACGCCTAGGATGTGAATGTTGGTGTGCTTGAAGTGGTCTCAGAGGATGCTGATACTATCCTTTTTTCTTCTTGCTATTCTGGCTGGTTGTTTTTTGCTTCCTTTTGTTACAAATCATTGATTTGATTCTCAGCTTCATCCGCTCTATTGTTGATTCCCTGTAAATTGTTCTTTATTTCAATCAGTGTATCCTTCATTTTTGACTGAATCTTTTTATGTTGTTGAGATCCCCACTAAGTTCCTTGAGTATCCTTATAACCAGTATTTTGAACTCTGCATCTGAGAGATTGCTTATCTCCATTTTGTTTAGTTATTTTTCTGAAGTTTTGTCTGTTGTCTCATTTGGGCCATGTGTCTTTGTCTCCTCATTTTGGCAGCCTCTCTGTGTTTGTTTCTATGTATTAGGTAGAGCTGCTATGACTCTCTGTCTTTGTAGTGTGGCCTCATGTAGTAGGTGTCCTGTGTGGTCCAGTGGCCAAACTTCCCTTATTACCCAAGCTGGGTACTTGAGGTGCACCTTCCATGTGGGCTGAGTATGTCCTTCTCTTGTAGTTGAGCCTTGATTGCTGTTGGCAGGTTAATGGGAGGGATTTACTCGGGCCAGTCAACTGCAAGGACTGTGACCACTGGCCACCAATTTCTACCCTCTGTGGAGGATCAGCTGTTCAGGGGCTCACTCCACAGAGCAGGGCTTACTTCAGCAGGCTCTGGTGCCCACTTGTGTTCTGTCTGGGGCCACTTGGCATAAGCTATAAAGCAGTCTGCAGCTGGCTGCTTCTTCTGCTGGGCTTAGAGGTACCCTAGCAAAGCCAGGCTGTGACTCAAGGCCAGCTGCTGCTAGTGCTGAGCCTGGGACCACTTAGCACGCCAGCTGCTGTTTGTTAGAGAGGATTTAGAAAGATCAGAAGCATGTGCCAAGATATGTCAATCATTTGGAAAAGCTACTGTTAACTGCTTGGGTGGGCCCATAGGTTGGGTGAGATGGAGCCTCAGGGAATCACCAGGATGAGGCAAACGGTATTAGGCAGGTTGATGGAGTCTCAGAGACAGTACCCACTACACTCTGTGGCTCTGGTGGGTGAGGGCTCAGAAGAGGAGCAATGGCCTCTGCCAGCAGTTCTGTCTTAGAGAAAGCTGTCCCCCATCTCTCGCTCTGATGCCAGACACTTCAGTCCTCCCTGTGTGCCACTGGTGCCTTTCAAACCTCTGCCCTGGTGCTGGAGCTCAGTGGGGATGAGTAAGTTCATGTGTGGGCCCTTTAAGAGGAACTGATTAGGAATTGAGCAGTTTCTTCCACCAACTCAATCTCCACTGGTTTTTACAGCCAAAAGCCACAGGGACTTATCTTCTTGGCACTGGAATCCTGGGCTGGGGGGCCTGGTGTGGGGCTGGGACTCCTTGGTCCTGAGATACCCATCCCACTGTTTATCTGCCACACATGAGTGTGGGACAAGCCTGTTCCATGTCTCCACATCTCTGTCCCTCCTCCCAGTCTGGATGGATGTGGCTTCTTCAATTCTGTGGTTGCATGATCTCCATTCAACCTGATTTCTGCCAGTTCTGAGTGGTGGTTATTCTGTAGTTTAGTTGTAATTTTGATGTGGTTGTTCAAGGAGGCGAGCCATGTTTACCTAGGCTGCCATCTTGGAGATCTCTCCCTGCAAAAAACACTTTTCCAACCGGTTTGTGTTAATTTTGTTAATATGTCATTCACCAAAATAAGTCACATAACCAGTTTCAGAGTCATGTGGATGAGAATTATACAAGGATGTAGATTTGGGGAGGTAGGATTCAGTGGCGTCCATTACTACTATAACAAACACCACAAGCACTAAATGAGATCCTGTATATAAAACTCTGAGGACAGAACTGGCTGGTAGTAAATTCTTTATAAATAGTAGCCACTATAATTTTGACCCCAACTTTGTTCAAATGTTTTACATGGTCTCCCTTCTACATCATATTTTGCTACTTTTCTATTTGGTCCTCTCATTACTACCGTTCTATGAAATTCAACTTCTGTGTTTTCTTTCTTTTACTCTAGATTTTCTGCATCTTTTTAGTTTTGGAGCATTTTTATTTTTATTTTATTTTTTATTTTATCTTATTTTTTATTTTCATTTTTTAAATTTCTCCTGTACATATTTAGAATTTGTCTTTCTTTAAGAATCTGTTTCAAAGCATCTAACTCTCATCTTTCCTTAGAAGCGCTGTGTAGAGCTGGGCCTTCTCCTTTCAGTTTTACATAAATTGACATACATATTGCATCTGTTTGTTCCTCTTAGAGTGTATATAAATAGCATTTTTAATTATAGAGTAATATAATTATATCAAAGTGCATTCATAACATGCAGAAAGGTACCAAAGAGAAAGTTTAAATAACCTGCAACTCCACTGTTGAAAGACAGTCACTGCTAATGTTTATGTATCCTTTAAATCATATTTTTAAAATATTTATTTATTTATTTTATGGGGAGGGAGGGAGAAAGAAAAAGAGAGAAACATCAGTGTGTGGTTGACTCTCATGTGCCCCTTGCTGGGGACCTGGCCTGCAGCCCAGGCATGTCCCCTGACTGGGAATCGTACCAGTGAGCCCTTGATTTGCAGGCCGGTGCTGAAACCACTGAGCCACACCAGTCAGGGCTCCTTCAAATCATTTAATTAACTATTCAACAAATACTTATTGTTGGTAAATTGTTATTAGTAAGATCATAGCTTAATTGTTATTGACCATAAAATATTTTTACTAGTTATTGAGGGTTTGCTCTGTGCCAGGCACTGCTCTAAGTGTGGAGGATGTAGCAGTGAACAGAACAGAAAAGACCTTGCCCTCAAGGAGCTTACATTCTAATGGGGAAAACAGGAAGTAAATAAATATGCAAGATAGTATCAGGTGGTAATAGTGGTTGAGGAAAAAATAGACCAGAATGTATCAGTATTCCAGCAGAAAACAGATGGCTCATTCAGTTGGGGTAATTGAAAGTTTCATGAAAAAGATGGTCAGGATTATAGCAATCAACCAGGGATGGAGCACAGTCTGGGGACAAACAATGGTGAGGAGGAGGTACTACCTTTAGGCCTTAAGTTACATAGAAAGAACTTGATTTCCAGATCCTAGAGCAGGTGGCTGGCTGTAGGACCTAGCCTCCCAATGGGAGCTGTGGCCTTTGCTAAAAGAACTACAATTACTTCCAACTCCTGGCCCAGGGAGAGGGAAGCCAAGATGTAGGGTAACCAACTCCTCCCAGTTTGCCTGGGAGTTAGCACTGAAAGTCCCACATGCTGAGAAGCCCCTCTGTTTTGGGCAAACCAGGACAGCTGGTCACTCTTCAGTTCTCCTCCTACTTTTGGCCAAATCTAATTGCAAGCCAGAGGGCATGGAACCCCAAGTGATACAATCCATAAACTAATAGCCTGCTGAGACACAGAGCAGCGTAAACAATAGACCTATGGGGGTAAAAGGAGAATGTCCATTACAGTCCACCCCTTTTAACCTATAATATTCACTTTTGTCCTTCGAAACAGGAACAGGCGCCGTGAGAATCTGAGTCACTGGCACATAGAATTTACTGTCTTCCAGACTTGCTTTTACAGTGGAGTGCAGGTTTGAATGTCCAATTTCATAATTTGCTGGATTAAATAACAACTGGTACACAATGGTCAGTTTGTAATAGTCATCTGGAACTCTGGTCAGGTATTAAGTCTCTAATAGTGCCCAAGTGCAAACTGGGATCTGCTTTCGTATCTGTTGCCTCAACATTCAGGGCTCACCAAGTGTTGTACCTCTCTGAAATGGTAAAAAGTGGTTGGGGATATAAATGAAGTCAGAGAACAAGCCATTGACTATTTGAGAGAAGAATGTTCCAGGCAGAGGGAATGGCAAATACAGGAGATGTATCAGGCACAGAGCGAGCCTGGGCTAGACAGGTAATAGGGGTGGTAGAATGAAGTGAAGGCAGATAGGAACAGATCACAGAAGCTTTTAGGCCATAGGAAGAATTTGGAATTTATTCGGAAAGCCACTGGAACTCTTTATATAAGATAATAGCATGTAAACATCACTCTGACTGTTGCATGGAGAATAGGATAAGGGTAAGTTAACAAGAAAGCAAACTACGATGTCAAATAAATCAATAAAAAGATTGGGGGAAATGGGGGACATCTGTAATAGTGGCAACAATAAACATTAATTATTATTATTATTATTTTTTTTTTTTTTTTAAGAATAAGCCCTGACCGATGTGGCTTAGGTGGTTGGGTGTCATCCTGCAAGGCAAAGAGTGTCTTGTTCAATTCCTGGTCAGGGCACATGCCTGGGTTGTGGGTTTGGTCCCAGGTCAGGAGGCAAGTGATCAATGTTTCTCTCTCACATCAATGTTTCTCTCCCTCTCTTTTTCCCTCCCTTCCCTTCTCTCTAAAAATAAAAAAAAAAAAATTTTAAAGGAGAATAAGATCAATAATTGACTGTAGAATTTGTCAAGACAGAACCTGTTAGGGACTTTAATAACTATAGTTTCAATGTAGCTATAGAGATAAGAGCCTGATACAATGAGTTAAAAAAAGATCTTAATGTTAGTTAGAAGAGAGAGCAATGTTAACTCTTATATGCTCCTGATGGAAGCGTGAATTGGTTTGACCACTTTGGAAATATCTACTTGAAGACCCAGCAGTTCTGATCCTAAGTTTTTATAACCTGGAGAAACACCTGCATGCGTGCACTGAGTTAGATGTCCCAACATATTCATGTTGGCATTGTTTGTAACAGCGACATGTTATTGTCCGTTGGAGGAAATGGGTAAATAAATCGTGGTGTATGTCACACTATAGTAGTGAACATGAATGTAGTACAGCTATACACATGAATATGAATGAGTCTTCCAAACATAATTTTGAACAAACAAAAAAGAAAATACATGGGGTAAAATTCCCTAAATGTATAAAGTTTAAAAACATACCATATTTGTCTGCTAGTGCTGCCATAACAAAATATTGCACAGACTGGGTGGCTTAAACAACACAAATCTATTTTCTAAAGTTCTGTGCATCAATTTTGGTTATCTATACTTTATTCTAGTTTTATAGCTTTAGCTTTTATGTTTAGGTTTACGTTACATTTCTAGTTAGTTTTTGTGTATAGCATGAGGAAAGCGTTGGAGTTGATTTTGGTCATTGTGATATCCAGTTCTAGGATGTTTTGCTGAAAAGAGACCATCCCTTCACCACTGACTTATCTTGCAACTATGTTGAAGATCAGTTGTATGTATATGTTTCAATCTACTTATTTACTCTCTGTTCTATTCCACTAGTGGGTGTGTATCCTTATGCCATTACCACACTGCCTTAGTCACTGTGGCTTTATAGTAAAGCCTGAAATCAAATAGTGTAACCTCTCCAATGTTGTTCTTTTTCAAAATCGTTTAGATACTTTGTGCCTTTGTACATAAAGTTTAGAATCAGTTTGTCACTTTCTACAAAAAAAGCCTACTGAGATTTTTGACTGGCGTTGCACTAAATCTATAGATCATTTTGCTGAGAATTCTACCATCTTAACAATATTAAATCTGTCTATTCATAAATGATGGCATATATTTCTAGTTATTAGGTCTTCTTCAATTTCAGCAATGTTTTATAGTTTTTATTATACAAATATTGCAGGTACTTTGTTGAATTTGTTTCTAAGTATTTTTGATACAATTAATAAAAGTGTTTTACATTTTCATTCTAATTGCTCATTGCTATATATAGAAATACAATGAGTTTTTGTATGTTGCTTTAATAAACTCATTTACCAGTTTTAATAGCTTTTGTGAGACACTTCAGGATTCTGTATATATGTAGTGGTGTATAAGTAAAGGCAGTTTGACTTTTTTCTTTCTTATTTGTATGTTTCAGTTATTTGTTTGTATCTTATTGTATTGGCTAGGACTATTGAATAGAAGTAGCACAATGTTGAAAAGAAGTGGTAAGAGAGGGCATCCTCGTTTTGTTCCCTCGTCCCTAGAAGCATTCATGGTCTAGCCATGAAGTATGATCTTAGCTGCTGGTTTTCCTTTGCTTTTTATTGGAGTAGTAAATTTACATTTAACATAGCTGGTGCTTGGATTTAAATGTACCATCCCATTTGTTTTTATTTATCCTGTGTTTTATTTCTTTTGTCTCTCTTTTAAGCCTAACTTTGCATTATTGGGGTTTTTGTTTAAATTTTTCTATTAATTTGTTGTTTATGCATTCTTTGTTATTTAGTGGTTACCTCATAGCAGCCTTTCTCAGACGTGATTCTGTGAGAGAATTAAATCTAAGGCATCCATTGTAAATAATGTGTTAAAATCTCTTCTATACATTGATTGTGGTACTGGCTATATATCATTTCTTGGAATAATTAAGAAAATAGTCACAAATCATTTTCTAATTTATTTTCTCATGGAACCTGGCTGGAAAAAGCTGCCTTAGGAATTACAACATACACATTTAATTTATTACAGTTTATCTTAATTTACTACTTTTAGGATAACCCAAAGATCTTGTAATATTTTAGTTCTATTTATCTCCCTCCCATTGTAGTATTTTTGCCATGTATTTTAATTCTACATATATTGTAAATTCCGTAAGACATAAGATATTTCATAAGTCAGTCAGCACACATCTAGATTTACCCAGACACTTGGAGGCTTGGGATTTGGACTTTTGCCTTTAAAACTCATCTGTGTCATGGTTTCAGCTCTCTAAACCATTTGCAGCTTGACAGTTGTAGGCTTAACAGTGGGCTGACAATCAAGAAATTCAATGGAGCACCCTGACCTGTGTGGGGCAGTTGGTTGGGTGCCGTCCCCAAAGAGAAAGGTCACTGGTTTGACTCCCAGTCAGGGCATATGCCTCGGAATAGGTTGAGTCCCTCGTCAGAATGCGTTGGAGAGGCAACCGGTTGATGTTTCTCTCTCACATCCATGTTTCTCTCCCTCCCTCTCTCTAAAAATAAATAAAATCTTGAAATACATACATTCAAAGGAACTCTCATGCTTCCTACCATCACAGGCATCTGATATCGTTGAGCATAGGAACGGCCTCTTCAAAAATTAACTCAAAGGAGATTTCTGACCCCACCTCTGTAACCTCTTCATAATTTACACACTTTGGTAAAGAAGTTTGGTGCACGAATTCAGCTGTTTTAAAAAGGGGATCATGCATTCTTGGCCACTTCCTTGGTGATAATCAGGACAAAAAAGATGGAGGATTATCTATAAACTTTTCTTTTTTAATTTAGGATCCTGTCTTGACCATTCCTGGGCACGATGCTTCTTTCTCTGCCCTGTTGGCAGCCTCTGACCAGCCTGGTGGTGCACCCCCCAGTGACAGCCGGGCGCCGCTGCCTCCTCCCACTTCCCTCCACCCACGCCCCACTCTCACAGTGCGTCCCTTACAAATGTTCATAAACTGCTTACGTATCGGCTCCACTTTGGTTGAACTTTCCTAATCACTATGATAGGTTTCAGTATTCCCAGATCTCCTGTGACAAACATATCCAGACCCAATCTGGTAAGCCACTTCTCTAAACAGTTATTGTGACCCGTTGTTTATTGAGTCTTCCTAGCTTCCCTCTGACAGGATAATTTTTTGTTTTGTAGCACTCCCATATTGTGATGATGTTTTTGTAAAGATTTTATTTATTTTTAGAGAGAGGGGAAGGGTGGGAGAAAGAGAGGGAGTGAAACATCAACGTGCAAAAGAAATATTAATCGGTTGCCTCTCACATGTGCCCATCCTGGGACCTGGCCCACATCCTAGGCACATACCCTGACCAGGAAGCGAACCGGCAACCCTTCAGTTCAGAGGCTAGATAGCATTCAATGCACTGAGCCACACCAGCCAGGGCTGTGATAACATTTTATAGGTAAATACTGATCTGTTTTACCCGAAACTTTCCTACGTTTTGGGGAACACATTCCATTTGAATTTTGTTTATTGTTCTAGATGGTGAGATTAAGACCAAGCTTGGAGAGCTTGCTTTGGAGGAGGAAATTACAGCAAAAACTGAACTACTGACTAAAGAATCTGACAAACCCAGAAACAATGTTCTCCAGGAAGCTGAACGCAGAGAATTCTGTGAATTTGGAGATCAGTTAAATGAAAAGGATCAGAACCACTATAAAAGAAGACAACATCACTGTGGTCAATGTGGACAAAGCTTTGCTTGGAGTACAGGCCTTATTAGGCATCAAAGAACCCACTGGGAGAAACCCTATGAATGTGACAAGTGTGGAAAGGCCTTCAGTGTGAGCTCAGCCCTGGTTCTGCATCAGAGAATTCATACTGGGGAGAAACCCTATCCTTGCAATTGGTGTATTAAAAGTTTCACTCGGAGCTCAGACCTTATTAAACATCAAAGAGTCCACACCGGTGAAAAACCCTATAAATGTGATGAATGTGGGAAAGCCTTCAGTCAGAGCTCAGACCTTATTATACATCAGAGAATCCACACCGGAGAAAGACCCTATCAGTGCAGCCACTGTAGTAAAAGTTTTAGCCAGCGCTCAGACCTGGTTAAACATCAGAGAATCCATACTGGTGAGAAGCCTTATACGTGTAACCAGTGTAACAAGCATTTCAGTCAGAGCTCTGATGTTATAAAACATCAAAGAGTCCACACTGGTGAAAAACCATATAAATGCGATGTGTGTGGAAAAGCCTTCAGTCAGAGCTCAGACCTTATCCTACATCAGAGGATCCACACTGGGGAGAAACCATATCCATGCGATCAGTGTAGCAAAAGTTTCAGTCAGAACTCGGACCTTATTAAACATCGAAGGATCCACACTGGAGAGAAACCGTATACATGTAATGAATGTGGGAAGTCTTTTAATCAGAGCTCAGTCCTTATTCTGCACCAGAGGATTCACACTGGAGAGAAGCCCTACCCGTGTAACCAGTGTAGCAAAACCTTCAGCCGACTTTCAGATCTTATTAATCACCAGCGGATTCACACTGGAGAGAAGCCTTACCCATGCAACCAGTGCAGTAAAACGTTCAGTCGAAGATCAGACCTCGTTAAACACCAGAGGGTGCACACAGGCGAGAAACCCTATGAATGTGATGAGTGCGGGAAGACCTTCAGTCAGAGCTCCAACCTTATTCTACATCAGAGAATCCACACCGGAGAGAAGCCCTACCCGTGCAGCGACTGTACTAAAAGTTTTAGTCGTCGCTCGGACCTTATCAAACATCAGAGAATACATACTGGAGAGAAGCCATATGCGTGTAATCAGTGCAATAAAAGCTTTAGTCAAAGCTCAGACCTCACCAAACATCAGAGAGTGCACTCTGGGGAAAAGCCCTATCATTGTGGCAGTTGTGAGAAAGCCTTCAGTCAGAGTTCGGACCTTATTCTTCACCAGAGAATTCACACTGGAGAAAAACCGTACCCATGCACACAGTGCAGCAGAAGTTTCAGTCAGAACTCAGACCGTATCAAACACCAGAGAGTCCACACCGGGGAAAAGCCATACAAGTGTAATGAGTGTGGGAAGGCTTTCAGTCAGTGCTCAGCTCTTATCCTACATCAGAGGGTCCACCCTGGGGAGAAACCAAATCCATGCGATCAGTGTGGCAAAAGCTTTAGTCGGCTCTCTGACCTCACTGACCATCAAAGAATCCACGCTGGTGAAAAGCCATACAAATGCGACACGTAGGAAAGCCTTCAGCACGTGCACCGATCTTACTGAACACCAGAGAATCCACCCTGGGGAGAAACCCCGCAGGGCTCTTCATTGCAGAAGTTTTACTCAGCTCTCTGAACTTACTGACCATGGCCAAGACAGTGTACATGCAATGAATGTGGGAAAACCTTTAGTGTATACACCAACTTTATTCAGTATGAGAGACACTACACCAGAAAGAAAATCGTATGAGTGCTATTGATGATAATGAAAAAGGTTTTAATCAATGCTCAACTCTTGGGCTACATTAAAAAAAAAAAATACCCCACAGTGGATAGAAGACATTGATTCCATTTTTATAATGAAGTTTAACTTAGAGCTCAGACATTACTGAACTTAAATTCTGAGGAGGAATCGTGTGTGTTGCGGGAAAATGTTCAATGTGAATAAAAATTTTAGTGAATACCAACAACAATGGAAAGACCTTCGTATCTGCTATAATGTAAGACAAGCTTTAGTCTTATTCAATGCAGTCCATAAGAGGAGAGTTTTATCATTGTAAGAAATGTGTTAACAGTATTAAGAACCTTATCAGATATTATAAAAATCAGTCTTGTGGGGTGTGCAATCAGAATGTAGAGATATAATCATACTGTAATCTCAAACATTTAATGAGCCGAAATTACCTATGACATATCAGAGAAATTGCTAATTAATGTAGGGAAAACTTAAGCACCTTCCACAACTTAACTGGCATTCACTCTGATTTCACATGTATCTGCTGACAGCAGGAGAGTTCTAGCTTATGCTAATGGTAGTTATCATTAAGTCCCCTGTGTGTGAGCATACTGTGCTATTCTGGTATTACATTTATTAACTACATCAAGCCAGTGCCCTACTTTCTCAAAAAAAAATTTTTTAACCTAGTTTCGGTTTTCCTAATGAGAAGTTTTTAACTTCCTGTGATGTTCAACAGCAAATATGGATTGGTTTTGCTCTCAATAATGAAGCCTATAAACTTTAGCAGTGTGAGATCATTTCTTCAATACTTCCATTTAATTACAGCTTCTAAATATGTGGAACAATTTTAAAAAAGAATTCTGCGTGTCAAAATGTAATGATTTCTCTACTACTGTATTTGTCTTATAATCTATAGACCGAACAAAATGATAGCTAAAGTAATACCCCCAGGTTCTGTGTAGCATAATCTACTTTAAAATAACAAGATCTGCCCTGGCTGGTGTGGCTCAGTGGATTGAGGGCGAGCCTGTGAACCAAAGGGTTGCTGGTTTGACTCTAGGTCAGGGCACATGCCTGGGTTGCGGGCGAGGTCCCCAGTAGGGGGCGTGTGAGAAGCAACTGATCGATGTTTCTATTTCTCCCTCTCTCTAGAAGTAAATAAAATCTTTAAAATTTGTACTTAAAAAATAAAAAGATGTACTGATTTCTTTAAGTGGCGACATTCATCAGATTTTTTGTTTATTGATTTCTGATATACATATTGATAATAGGCTTCATATATGTAAAGTTTTCTACTGGAAAATAAAGTTTTTTAAAAAATGAACATTTCAAATTGTCTTTCTGGTATTAACCGTTTTTTAAAATTCTGCCCTGTCATTTACTTTGAACATCTCCCATAATTATCCAATTATTTCAATCCAACAGACCTTGCTAAACTACTATGCTCAAGGCATTCTTTAAGGTTTTTATATGTACACAAAGTTTGCATACAAAACAGTCTGTATACTGTCCCAACAAAGCCTATGTTGCATACTGATAAAGACTGATGTATACAGAAAACACGTAGCTCAATGTAATCATAACAGTAGACAAGATACAAGAGCTCAGAGGAAGTAGGGTTCGATTCTGACTGGAAAGAAAATGGTGAGCTTTATGGAGCCTCCAACATTTGAGTTCTGAAGGATGAGGTAGGAGCATAAAGGCAGGGAGGGAATGGTCCAAAAAGGCACAGAAGCAAGGAAGTATTAGCAATGACGAGGAGTGTGGTGCGTAGTCATTTTTTCATTCAATAAATACTCAATGTCAGGCACTGTACTAAGTGCTGCAAAAGAAAAAAAGTCCCTGCCCTCAGGCTTAAGTGTTTTGAAAGTAATAACTGGAACATGTACCTAATAAGAATGGGGTGGAAATAAAACTTGAAGTAAAAGACAGCTGAGGAGGGTGACAGTAAAAAAAAAATAGGCACGTCAACTCTCTGGGGTTTAGTGTCACCTATAAAAAAAAGTACTAGGTATACTGCGTTTTGCTCTCAAGATAATGGGAAGCCATTAGGGTCTGAACCAGGGAATGGCACTTTCATCTCCCTGCTTTATGAAGAGGCTAAGATTAAAAGGAGGAAAGAGACAGCAGGAAGGAAAACTATTGGGAAGTCTGGAAATACAATCATGAGCTCCAGAAGCAGAGGAGTTTGAAGGCATTGATATGATGATAGGTTCAGAAGTGAGTAGGGAGAAAAGTATACAATCAACTATTGTCTATTCTTTGGGGAATTTAAAAAGTGAAAAAAACAGGATGATCAAATTTATATCTGAAGTATAGCCATCTCTCCTGAGAATAAATTTTCAGAGCCAACTGCTTACTACATGTTTTTTTCCTGTGTCCTAAAGGTAAACTCAAATTCACAAACTTAACACATACACCTATGCTATCTTCCTCCTCAGTTCCCTAGCCTGGCAAATTGCTCTACTAAACATCTTGCTATCCAGATAAAATAACATAGTGATCCTACACTCTCTCCAGCTTTCTAAGTCCAACTGCTCACTAGAAATTGAAAATGAATTATGGAAGTAATGCTACTAACTCTAAAAATTCAAATAATGAAATATACTGAGTGAAAAGGGAAGGGATGGGCCTCATATTTAATGAGTTGATTTTTCCCACGCATTCTTCAACTGGCAAAGTCAAAGACCAAGGAATCTAGCCCAACAGCAATGGAAGGGTAAGTGAAACTCACTGTGATAGGGAGTAAAAATTGGAGCACAGAACATGCCAAGTAGGAGGTGCTCTTGTAATCTACCCCACAATTCAGTGTGAACATTGAAAGGCTATATTCTAGGAATAAGAAGGGAACCAGTGTGGCCCGAGTCTAAAAAAAGTCTGAAACAGTCTCAAGTCAGGTCCGACTTTTAGTAAATTAAGTGATCTGTTCCTGATCTAGCTGCCAGTTAGAAGACAAGGTGAATCCTCTCTGGAGGACACCGAGTAACTCTTCATGTATAATATTCAGTGTTCAATAAAAATGATCAGAATAATTAGAGCCACAGATACCAGGATGAACTCTCTCTCACACACATGCAGATGGACAGACACCGAAACAACTATAAAACGTGTATACATGGATTAGTATACATTTACCTAGCTGTGTTCTGAGAGGACCTAGAAGTAAAGACACTCCAGTGTCAGCACACCCAGATCATGGTTTGTAAATAGCTTTCTGCAAATAAAAGGGGGTCAGGGTTCCTTTGAGAAATGGCTGATTCTAGGGCTAAGGCAGGAAAAACACAAGATGAGCCAGGAGCATCTCATAGAAAGAGCTCACAAAACAATACAATGGGGGCATGTCAACAGAACACAGGAATCAACCTGAAAGAGCGTCCAATGCCAAATAAATATATATGAGTCCATACTGATGTGAATAAATATGGAAGAAGAGACTAATATAGATAGATTCCCCATCCTCCAAGATGTGAAGTTTAATCCCAACCCAGCAAAAACTACTCTCAATCTGCACTTGCTAGCTACCTCAGTTGGAGAGAGCATTGTCCCAATACGCCAAGGTTGTGGGTTCAATCCTCGCTCAGGGCAATACAAAAACCACCAATGAATGTATAAATAAATGGAACTACAAATCAATGTTTCTCTTTCTTGTCCTGTCTCTAAAATCAATTTTAAAAAATTTTAATAACTATAATACTTTAAGACTTCTCAACCTTAGCACTATTCAGTTCACATTTGGGGCCAGATATCTGGTAATCTACCCAGATGCACACATTTCCATATATAGGTAATACGCATGCCATTTTTTTCAGTTATGTTTAAAAGTTGCAGACACAATGCCCCTTTGACATTTCATCAAGCGAGAAGAGGATTTTGCACAGGGAAGTTAAGTAATGTGACATATGTCTGGCTGCTGTGTTGAGAACTGAGTGAAGTAGGGCAAACAGGAAAGTGGGGAGGCTACTGGCCTGAGCAACTTTCCCAGCTGAGGACAATTCCACGATTTTCAGGGAGAAATTAAAGTTTGGTTTTGGACATGGACACTGTAGACTTGAGATGCCCAATCAGTCATTGTGAGAGCTTAGTCTATAAGCCTCCTCCTATTTGCAGGGCCAGGGGTTCTGGTTTATAATACGGAGAAATTAAGTTTGGTTTTGGACATGGACACTGTAGACTTGAGATGCCCAATCAGTCATTGTGAGAGCTTAGTCTATAAGCCTCCTCCTATTTGCAGGGCCAGGGGTTCTGGTTTATAATACTGATGAGCCCCTAAGATTGCCTACACCATCCACCTTTGAGGTTGCAGGCCCGGGAGGCTGTGGGGAGAGGGAGCAACTAACTACCACCCGATCTCGGGCCTGCCACTCCTCCTGTGCTCTTGGTGGGTGTTGGAGCCCGACTTCCTAGTGGTTGTTGCTGGAGAGGCTAAGTGGTGCCACCCAAAAGTGTGGAGGAGTGGATGCTCTGTGGTGGAAACTGACCAGAGGGGGAGGGGTGTCTGAGGTCTTCTCCTTCCTCCTACTTCATGGGGAGGTAAAGATTAGGTAGTTCACACCACTTGCACTCTGAAGTCACTGAGACTAAGCAAACCAATGTGCTTCTTTAGAAGCTGTAGCCAGCTCAGTGACAACCACTTGCATTTGTTCTCTCCTCCCCTGCTTCTCCTCTTGGTTACCCTCAGGGGATCTTTCCTGGGATTACATCACCCCAATACAATTTTAGCAGTCAGCTCTTATCTTAGGCTCTGTTTTCTTCAGAACCCAGTACAAAGCAGGTATCAAAATGGAGATGTCTGGTAGGCGAAAAGCATAACACTAATCTGTACTGCAGAGAAGAGGTCTACGCTGAGACACAGATTTTGGAGTTGGAAATAGTATTTAAAGACATAGGGCCTTCTGCATGGCTAAAGAAAATATCAGCAAAATAAGAAGGGAGTCAGCATCTGGGAAAACATATTTGCCAGTGATACCTCAAACAAGGGTTTGATCTCCAAAATATATAAAGAACTCACATGACACCAGGAAGACAAACAATCCAATTAAAAAATGGGCGAAGGACCTGAACAGACACTTCTCCAAGGAGGACAGAGGGCACAGAGCATGAAAGGATGCCCAGCATCACTAGCCATCAGAGAGATGCAAATTAAAGCCACAATGAGATACCACTTCACGCCTCAGAATGGCTATCATAAATCAACAAACTGTAAGTGCTGGTGAGGTTGTGGAAAAAAAGGGAACCCTAGTGCACTGCTGGTGGGAATGCAGACTAGTACAGCCACTGTGGAAAACATTATGGAATGTCTTCAAAAAACTAAAAATGGAACTCCTGTTTGATCCAGGGATACCACTGCTGTGATTATACCCTAAGTATCCTGAAACACCAATTCAAAAGAACTTATATCCCTATGTTTGTAGCAGCCTTATTTACAATAGCCAAGTGCCGGAAACAGCCTAAGTCCCCAACAGTAAATGAGTGGGTCACACAACTGTGGTACATTTACACAATGGAATACTACAGAGCAGAAAGAACTACCCTTCGTGACAGCAGGGATGGCACTAGAGAACATTATGCTAAATGAAGTAAGTCAAGCAGTGAAAGACAAATACCATAGATCTCACCTATAAGTGGAACCTAATTAACAAAACAAATGAGCAAAAAAACCCCAGAGACACGGAAATAAAGAACTGATGGTGAGCGTAGGGGAGGGAAAGGGAGGATAACAGGGGAAAGAAGGGGAACATGTATAAAGGACCCATGGACAAGGACAATCATCAGGTGGGAACTGTTTTTGGGGAAAGGGGCTGGACAGGGCAGGGGAGAGCAATGGGGCAGAGGGAAAGGGGACAACTGGAAAAGACAAAGGGCCAGATAAGATCGCCTAGGAAGTGAAGTAAGTAGAAAAAAGATGTGAACACTGAGCCCTCAGGCTTTCCAACATGTAAGTCCATAAAAATGAGGAAATACCAGCATCGAGACTGAGAAGCACCCAAGGGGTAGAAAAAACCCACGTTGTTTGTTCTTCGAGCCAAATGAAAATGTCTATTATTCAAGATACTGCTGATGGCTCAAGCAGTGTCTAGTAAATGAGTATTGGACTCAGGATGATTAATAAACTTCACTAGAACTTAAATTTTTTTTCTGTATTTATTTTTAGAAAGGGGAAAAGGAGAAAGTGAGGGGAACACTGATGCAAAAGAGAAGCATCAATCAGTTGCCTCTTGCATGTGCCCCAACCAGGGACCAAACCCACAACTTAGGCATGTGCCCTGAGCAGGATTCGAACTGGTCACC